CATTCGTGGGTAATAGATGCCTCCTCCTTGAAATACCAATAATCGCAAACATTTACAAGATATTCGTAGTATTGCGTGGATCCCATCAATTTCAATCAATTCTTCTTATTACTTAAATAATTTTTTTCACTTACCATGTTAAAGATGCACGCAAGGTAAATTCGAATAAAACGATTATGTTGAACGACGAAGTATTGCGAAATGTACAATCAAAGATTTACGGTATTAACGAAAAATGTATTTTCGTTTATTCGTCTCTGGATAATGGTGAAAAAAATAAAAATTATAATATCGCACATTAGGGAATTTAAAAAGTAAAGCAGTTGTCTTAGAAATGCGCCGGTGGTCCGTCTATTCAAATGGAAATCGGCTTTATATTTCCACGGATGTTCGGCATTACGCCAAAGCCGATTATGATAACTCGTCGACGTCATCCGTGGAGCTTGTAAGGGGGTTGCTTGCATGTAGCACGAAAACCGTCGTTTCTCTTAACCTATACCGATAAAGGTAATTGGCCTCGCTTGGTTTCCCTTGTTCGACGAGAACGATTAGTCAAACTTCATGGGACGCCGATATTGAGAACTCGTTAAAGCGATACTATACTGCAAAATGTACATAACATTAACGAATTTCATAGAATGCAATCCCATTCTATCTCGTACAAAATACGTTTTCCACAAAAAGAAAACAAAAAAAAAAATACAAAAGATTCCTACAAATTTATTTCAACTTTTTTCTATTATTTGATTCAACTCTGTTACATTATTATGCGGCTCAATGTGCACCACGGGAATATACTCTTCCCTTTTCGTTTAGTATCGCATTTATCACTCAATGTCTCCAAAAGTGTCTTCAAGTTTGGAAACGTTCTTCTTCGTTTCGTGACTGTCTAACTCAAAGTAGGAAAATATAGTCTACGTGCGTGCGATCTTGTGATCATTTCTACATAAAAGCACGCTTTGATATTATATAATACATATTTATAGGAGTCAAAAGAGAAAAAGGATAGAGCGATGTTGCCAAGAAGTCAATTAAAGTGCAAATGCATGGAAATGCAAATAGAATAGCAAGTATCATGTGAGTGACCAGAGTATCATCATAAAAGCAAAACCTAATCCACCTAATCGACAGCCATCGATCTCACTCTTTCAGATGCAAGGAATGTTTCAAGAAGAAGAGCTCAAAATCTCCTTCTTAAGGGAGTAAATATGTAAAGAGAAACGAGCTGACAAAAAATGTTATTTCGATGATCTAATTATAGGTGGGCATCATTTCGCGAAAGATCTATCGACTAGCCGTATTGGGGGAAATACGTATACAGACAAATAGATACATCGTATTCAGTGTCCGACAAAGCCACGATAATCGATATGTCGACTCTCGAAAGCCACAATGCAAATTTCGAAATCGAACACCGCAATACGCTTACATATCATTTAATTGCTAAACTCCGGGAGTATTGTTAATACTAATTATCGGTTAAACGTTCGATAGGTGTAGAATGTTATTGGTAGCACTTTCGAATCAATTTATACTAACGAAAGCAAACGTAAACGCGTCTCCTCTAATTTGTCGCAGTATAAATTGTTTTTAACGAAAATCTCAACTTAGCGTTATGCAATTAGTAATAATTATAACGTCGCTGTAAATGAAAAAAAAAAAAAAAACAACAAAAACAAAAACTTGCTAGATGAAGCTGTTAAAAAAAAAAAAAAAAAAGGACGTTCGTTTTAACGAAGAAATGGATAACAAATATTTACGGTAAACAAAATATATATTTACTCGAATAATCAGGAAATGTCTATTCCGTGGGAAGGGATTAACCAGCATGGAAACGAATCCGCGCTGCGTTGGTAGCGTGTACAAATTACTATGAGAATACATAGAATAGGAGGGCTACCTAAATTACATTGTACGCCGCTTCCTACACGCTTGTTGTTTCGAGCCAATATCGAAGCTAATGAACGGCCTTGGAAAAGCCATCCTACACGTCGCGCCGATCACCGTTTTGTCTATTACCATGGTAATGTGCGGAGCAAGCTGCCTAGGTGATATGGAGAAATAATTTGTGAGATGGAGATAGAAGTAGTGGGAGTGAGAGAGAGGGAGACAGACCTCGATACGACCACACTTGTTCGCACGAAAATTATTATAGTCACGTACACATCGTGCTAAAGAACTTGTACCGGAGTATTCAAACCACCTCTCCCAAACACACACTCGAAACATCTCTAGCCAAGCTTTTGGCAAGAGTATATATCGACTTCATTAGAATTTAACGTCTACGTAAAGTGAGCACTAAGTGGATCTCTTCGTAGTACACTATCGAAAGTCGATGCCACCTGGAACCAAGTTCTATCTCTCAGGATTTTACTTCCATGTCCGTGCTTTTTACTATCCCCTTTTTTCTTTTGAATTCTTCCTTTGGAATCGAGTTTCGTGGTCGAACGAGAGATAAGTTCAATCGATAAAAGAAAAAAAAAAAAAGAAAGATAGAGAGAACATATTTTCATGAAATGTCGAAAATGTCGTCCTCGAGAAAACGATAAGACAGGAAAATAATAATGACGAAAAAGGGGTGGGAAGAATTGTAATCTATCTTTCGTTCTGCGTACACGAATTTCTCATCCATATTCAAGGGCAACGATGAAGATCTAGGTAACGTATAACACGTATAGTTAGCAATAGTAGTAGTAGGGTGGAATGGCGTATTCGATGCTAATCAGCGTGACATCTATTACGTGACGGTCGCGTGCACATGCGCGAATACGTTATTGCTAATCAGTGATTTGTGCGTCTCACTGCTGTGGTGCACCGTCAATTCGTCTAACTCCGGTTAGTATCAAATGGGCTTTATAATAATACTTTCAAACAAAGTGGACATCGTAAAAATCATGAAGAAAGGATATACCGATAAAACGTATCAGTCCGTTTGAATAGTAAGAGAAACAGAGAGAGCGAGAGCGAAAGAACGGCGAGTAGATCCCTGTGCATTTGTTCGCTTTGGATTTCTTTTATCGACGCCTCTATATAGACGTCCTCGTTCACTTTTCCGTCTCTTTCTACAAATAGCATTCTTCGACGCAGCACCAACACGTTTCTTCTCTTTCTCCAAAGAATACTATCCTCCCGCATTTTATTCTCTCCACCCACTCTACCTTTCACAATCTTCCAGCCAAGATTTCTTTTTATCTTCTCTATATCGATGTCCTACATATATATATATATATCTACCTCTATTCTCTTAAATAAACTCTTATAATCGAGCATGGATCGATGGATTAAAAATTCAATTTAGAATACTGTCCGGCTTTTTGTCGTAGAAAAGAAATAAAAAGAAATAAAAAGAAATAAAGACATTTTCGTACTTTCTCACCCTTTCACTTCCTTTCTTCTTCTCTTTGCCACTTCGTTGACTGTCCCGAATACTTTCACACCACGAAATCCCCTGAAATCTAATCCTCTCTCGAATATCCTCCCGGCACATTCACGGTCAGGAAAAGCATCCGGAACTTGAAAAGTTTTTCCGAAATTCGTTTCGTCGTGTGATAGAGAGGGAGAGAGAAAAGCGCACCGCCCTCGACTGGCGACGCTAAAGGCGGCAGAGTTAGCAATAAAGTTTTCTTTATTTTTACTACCCCTTTGGCCAAGTACCGCTCCCGTATTTCCTTCGGATATTGACATATCGGGGGTGCTGGAGCTTCTCCTCTTAACGCCCTTTTTACACTAGTCTGGAATTTATGTCTTCTTTCAACCTCCCCCACCTCAGCTAACTCACACCCCAATTCTTCTTCTTCTTCTTCGAGAAAGAACCTTTGCCTTACTCTTCGTCTTTTTCCACTTTTTTTTTCTTCTTCTTCTTTTTCCCGTGCTAGCACATCGTACTCCGGCCACCTGCCTATCCTCAACCTCATTCCCTTCGTTCAAGGCGAACAATCAATCACCCTTACCTATCTCTACGTTTGCAGAATCAACCAGAAATCTCTATTAGTATTTCCCAACCTTCCTCTCCACCCCCATTGGCATGTACATATCGTTTCGTTCTCTTCTGCATACTTATTACCCACATTTCTATCATCGAACGTGTTACAAAAATGTTTACAAGTACTCGTGCGTTATTCACGAGTTATTCACGAATACACCCACAAACTATTTAAAAATTTTCTTCAAAAATGAAAATTATGTTAACCATCCCCTTTTCTATTATACTACCCCTTTTCTATATACCTACTCCTTTTTCTTCTTCATTTCTTGTTCAAGTCACGAAGAATTTCGCAGGAATTCGTAAAAAAAAGAAACTAACGAATTTGAAAAGGATTGCTTGTTTTCTGTTAAACGACGGCTAAAAGAATTGAACAATCGCTCGTCAGAGAGACGTATTTCTTGTGAGCAACGTTGTTTTCGAACACGTTTCTATTTACAGTTACCTTGGGATGTCAACATGCAAGAGAGTGAGATAAAGTATAACATGAACACGGAAGACAGTATTGAAATGCAGAGACGAAAAGAGAGAAATAGTTAGAAGACTATCAAAGAGAGAAACCAAACTCAACAGTGAAAAGCGTAAAACGTTATATCGTGACGCGAATATCGGTCCGAAAACGAATCGAACCTAGCAGCAAAACCAACTGACAAAAGGTTCCTGAATCGGTTGCACGTAAAAATCCTTTGAATGGCGACTTTGTTTGTTTGTCGAAAGTGCGTCGAGCTTCCGGGCAGACGAATGTTTTCTACCAATAGCTCTCTCTCTCTCTCTCTCTCTCTCTCCCCCCCCCCTTCTTCACTCTCATTCTCTCTTTGTCTCTCCCCACGTATACAATATAATTGAATTTTTTTGCTTTATCAATTACGCCAATAGATAAAATCGCAACTAAAAGTCGTGTCAAATTGAATGAAACGAATTTAACGTTAGAATATTTGTAAAGGAAACAATTTGATAAGGGTTCTTTTAATTAACATAAGTGATAAATTAAATATAAATTGTATTGCGTTTGTTACAGGCGGATCGGAAGGAAAGGTGGATCTTTGGACGCAAAGCACAAAAGGCTGTGCTTGTAACTTCAATTCGTCAAGCAACGAATGCGCTTGTTGCGTACCCTCCGGTGGTTGCAGCTGTGGCACAGCTTCGCCCAACAGGTGCGCTCAATGTGGCCTCGAGCAACACTGCGCCAACAGTAAGTTAAAGTCTCTACGTCTCAAAGCCTTCTCCCACCGCTACGAACGCTTTCCAGTACGGTAGAGAATAGTCTTTCCCTTCCACTAGTCTAACTTTTCTTAATCATTTTCTCGAATACGTTCGACGATAACAAAGCGTTAATAGGATAATATTAACAAGGAGAGGGAAGGAATTGTCAAATACACTTTTCTCTGAACAATACACATTTTTTTCTATTTATTAACAATTATTTTAATATTATAATACACTTTACTCATATTACTGGAATTTTCTTTTTCAATCGAATTCATCACTGCGCATGAGCGATAAAATAATAAAATGATAACGTTATAATCTTAAATTTCCTTTATACGAAATATTATTACCGTTGTACACATGCGCAACATTCGAAAAATCATATAAACAACAATAAATAAAAGTATATAGAGATAAAGGACAATGACTATCGTATTGTTCTATCTTGCTATTCGAAATATTTACTTATGCAATACGATATCTAACTCTGTGGATTTCTTTTTGCAGTGTGCAATATAACGTTGGACAGCAGATTGTTATTCAGTAAATCTGATCGTGGCTTTGGACAAATAAAGTCGCCGTCTCTCGAAGGTCCCTCAAGGTGTACCTACAGGTTCATTCCGGATACTGGACAGAGAGTTGAATTACAGATCTATCGTCTAGTTTCCATAGGACGTCACAACGATTCTGCGTAAGTAGCTTGTCTTTTTCTTCAATTTCTTCTTGTTCTAAGACAAAAGTAAAGAGGAAATCTTTATTTTCGCTAATTTCGATGAAAAATAATATAATAACTAACTTTTTATATGAGCCAATATTAGGTTAGCACGTAATTATATTCTATTCTACAAGGAATCTATAATTACTGAGTGTGAAATGGTATACAAAATCTATCTATATATATACATAACCATAAAGTTTCAACTTGTTTAATTAAAGCAACTCAATTATCATCAATCCAATCTCTGAACTTTACTTCGATTTCGTGAGATCAATTTCAATCGAGTAAGTTCGATTCACGTGTTAACTTCAGGAATAACTGGTGTCATTTTTCCACAAGTTACACCATCCTACGAATATACAAGAGCGAACTAATGTATAAATCAATGTTCAAGTATGCATAGCAGACTCAACGGAAGGAATATTAAATGTAGAAAGGAGATAAAAGAGTTAAGACTTGTTGAAGGAGAAGATCAAAGCAATTTCTTTCTCGAGAACAACTTTTGCTTAACTGTACAAAATCTCGTAGAATTGATATAGGAGAGAATTCTTTAACGCTTAAAGAAAAATCCAAGGGTGTGCTCTTAGCTACCTGCTGGTTTGCTCCAATATGATTGTCGATGGCCACTCGCACCGATAGTCCTTTCAATTTATCATACTTTTACTGTTATCGACTGATCATCATAGTTCTTGAGTTCTATTCAAGTCAAAGAGAGAGAGAGAGAGAGAGAGAGAGAGAGAGAGAGAGAGAGAGAGAGAAAGAAAGGGAATAAAAAGAGAAATAAAATAGAGAGAATAAAAGTAAAATAAAAGGACTAACTGCTTTTTCTGAAAAAGCATTCACCGTAGGTACTGTTGGCTTTATCCAAAGAAAGAAGAACATTTTTCGTCGTTCAGGGTAACATACGAGAAGAAGTATTTCTACTATAGACTTTGGAAAAAGTCTGGGGAATTTTTTGACGCGAAATTCACGCTTTTCTCTCTCTCTCTCTCTTTCTCTCTTTATTCGTTCTTTCGACTAGTAGGAAACTCGCGTGACGAATACGAAGCACCATCCTTCGTTGCGTATTCTCGAGTAGCTTTTGTCCATGGTTTCATCGTTGAACAGTGAATACTCTTTCAGAAAAGTAGAGATAGAAAGATAGAGGACAACGGCGGACTCCGTCGTGCATGTCGCTCGATTTTCTACAACGCAAGAGGACAAGTCGTCGATCGGTGAACCTACACATTTACACACACCCACACATGTATGCTCGCAAAGTACAAGATGCGATGACGACGACGACGACGACGACGACGACGACGACGACAACAAAGAATACTATCGCGAATAGGAAACTTTTGTCCTTAGTCTTTTATTTCTTTTTCCTATTTGCGCAAGCGCCTAAGATGTCTTTTTCTCTAAAGTTGCCTTCTTATTGTTAATCAAACTGATAATATTATTTTGATTCGTTTTATTATAAAATTATGAAAACGTTATTGTGCGTTTGTATACTATATACTACTTATATAATTTTGTTCTAATTTGTTCGAAAATATTGATTAACATTTTTAATAAAAATTAGATAGAAAATTGATATTGCAGTTGGAAATGCATTTTAGAAGGAATATAGACGATGAAAAGACGGCAGAAAATCATTTTGAAACTCTGAGAATGTTTCCTTTGAGAAAGTTTGCTTTAGATGACTAACTTTGATCTTTTTCTTTATTCGCAATAACGTTAGAATTTCATTGGTACAAGTTCGCGTTACAGTGGTTAGAAAAGGTGCTACTTGAAATGGGAAATGTAGTAAAGACGAGAGAGCATCCAAATCGAATTCTTTTCTGTCTCTTTTGGTATTCGAAGAAAAAATCAACAAATAAGATCATTTTGTTGCATTCCCTTGATGATATAGAATATAAAGAAGAAAAGGGCAGTCCAAAGAGTTAGGAAAAGGAAAGAAATAAAAATAAAGTGCATCGATTCGCGAGAGGTACGTTCACTCTGCTACCAGTCGTTGTAATTTAAATTCAATTTGAGTTCGTTAGTTTACAATTAGTGCCGCTTCCATGGTGGTGCTCGCTTAATGTTATAACATGCTACGTATATTGCCCTTTGTCATCTCGCTTGCGACCAACTTACTCCTTTCTCCGTACCTAGTAGGAACAACGAGCAGCAGTTTTCAGAGAACAAATAATATTCCACCGAGGAATCGCGTTCTCTCCACTTGCAAAAATGTCCAAACGCATCTATTTCATTTAGCGTGCGTTTGTTTTTCTAATGTTTTTCTACTATGTCTTTCTAATGAACCATAAAAGTTTACGATATTAAAGGGTTGGAAATGAAATATTTGAGAGTCAGATGATTTAATAAAATTCAATAAGTTAATTTGAAAAAAAAAAAAAAAACAAAAAAAAAAAACGAAAAAAAACATCCAACGGGTTAGCTTGCGTTTGCCACATCATTATCGTACCCATGTGAAATTTTACTCGTCTCCGAGCTTTAACAACGTCTACATACCGTTCATTTTGATGCTGTCAAGTACAGACCGCTTTACCGAGTCCTCCCTGTGCATGTTCGTAGAAATTGGTGATAATAGAAAGAGGAAGAATGAAAGATGAGGGATAAAATTCCATTCTATATTTAATCGAAAATTCAAAACCCCCTGAGAATTCCTAATTTCAGATGTCGACTCTGATCTCTTCATTACAGGATATGTACACCGTATGTACTTTTATCATATATTATATAACTTCATATTCTCTCGAGAAGAGTTATAATTAGGTCAGATCTCTGGATGAAGAGCGTGCATTTAGTTACCAATTTAAAATCCTTTTCTCCTTGACTCTTTCTCACGCGTGCGCACGCGCACTCGCACGCGCTAGATCGTTAAATGAAATGCTCGATGATACCGAACTGAAATTTCTTCCCTTGTTTTTGATTTATTATCCGAATATCTTTTTGTCAGAATCGAGGATTTGAGGGATAAACGAAGTTCCAAGAAGAAAGGGAAAATGATGCATATAGGCAAGATCGAGCACGATGATGCCCACAGACGCGATAAATTCTTCTCTTTAAGCTCTTTAATAATGGCACGGAGAGATTGAAAGGCCTCTGTGGAACAATGCAGCCTAGGTGAACGCTTTTACTTTTTTCCCTTCCTCTTTTTCAAGCTTCCATCCCTATGCCTTTTCTTTCGGCTTGAGATTATACGGTCCAACCCATAAATTTTCGAACGTTCACGTTACTCTTTAATACTAGCATAGAAGAACGACGGAGAAAATTATTTTGCTCGCATACACTCGTGTACGGCAATGCGAGATTATAACGAGAGTAAAACGAAAGAAGAAAAAAAAAGGGGAAAAATGGAAAAAAAAATTACGAATTAGGTGCGTTCTAATGCGATATAAATGGCAAAACACGTTCAGTATAAAGCCTCGAATAAAGAAGGGGGTCGAGGTTCTTTGAAACGCGATTAACCGACTTACGTAAGCGTTTTCACGAGTAATGTAAGCTGAAGAAAGGGAATGTAAAGTGGACTAAGAATGATGTAACGATCGAGATCGCATATCGTTATGGAAAAGAATACCAAGAAGAAGAAGAAGAAGAAGAGGAGGAGGAGGAGGAGGAGGAGGAGGAGGAGGAGGAGAAGGAGGTGGAGTCCTTTGTTTCCTCCGTTTCCTTCGTTATTATTCCAGCTTTAGCGAGTCGTGAAGCCGTTCTCCCAGCTGTGCTTCCTTTCCGGACAATCACCTTCGACCATTAATTCTTTCATTTTCTCGCTAGCTTTACCGCTACTTCCGTACACCAAAGCTGCTTCCACCCATCCACCCTCGTCAGTTGAGAAAGAAAACAAATTTCCGACTCGCACTCGGTCTTTTTCTAGTTTCAAAAGAATATCCTTGGAAAAAAAAGTATTTGCACGTCAAATATTCCCCTTAGTTGGAGAAAAATGTTCTTACTGTAAGGACGATTAGAAAAGTAAGTTGGAAAAAAGTTCGAATCTCGTTTTATTAAGCATCGTCGTAACTGATGATACGATAGAAATTATGTAACGACCAGCAACGAGAAGGATCGAGTTTCCTATTTTATGAAGGATGTTTTTTCTTTTTTTTTTTTTTTAACACTGAATATTTATTTTTGATTAAATTCTTTCGTAAGAAAGAAAGCTCGACAAATTTGAAATACGCGAGTGCTATCATTATTTACCGTCAACGTTTATATCTATTTTTTGTAATATAAAACGATAGATATGTTATCAAGTTTTTCAACAGGAAATGAATACTCCAATTTCTTATTTAAGAGAATATATATTTATTCTTTTTTATTATGAAAACAAATTTAAAGAAACGATCGATACGACGATATAATAAATTCTTACAAGGTATACAATCGTTTACTTTTTAAAAGGAATATCGTGAAATATACCGACTCAACGAATTAATTATCGCCGATGAAATTTCATTGGAAAACGTTGCAGTGTCACGTGAATATATAAAATATACACAAGATAGGTACATACATGCCTACAATACAATATTCGACGTTACTTTCTCGTAGGAGGACTTAGAAACATGAATATATAATAACGCTTTTCACGTTGCACGTCGTACGATTGTACCATGTCATAGATTCGAAAATGCATTAGAAGATTAGTTTGTCCTCGGTCAGCGTAATGAATAGGTTATCTAACGTATTTTTATCTAACTTAAATAAATTGCATTAATAATTAAGTAGAAAAAGTATGATTTAAAATAAAAAATAATGTGAACAAGGATTGATCTGTACAGATCGATTTTTCGAACCTTTCGGATATATTGTATTAACAGTAACTTATTAATAAATAACTCGATAGTATTTTACACTTGGAGAATCGAATAGATCTATCGAATTAGGTAGGTCACTGACTGCTTGTGGTTTAACTCGGTTATTTGAGGTTTAGCTCGGAATGGATGTAATGTGTGTGATTGTAACTGGTTGACTGTGCAACTTGT